AGGCACAACACCTTCATACTAACAAATACTATTTCTCAACTCGGCCAGGTTCTTGGAAGATGCTTATCTTCCAAGCAGGCAAAGCCAGACATTTTTAAACATTATCCAGCAGACCATAGCAATGATTTAAAAATAGGCACAGCAGTAGTCTCTCTGCCACTCCAGTTCCCCCTCCGCAGCGGAGGCAGCTGTAGGGCCATGTGTGTGTCAGAGCACAGACCTCTAGGGAGACATAACGGAGCTGGAAATGCTTCAGAAAATCTTTCTCTTTGTTTTCTTTTTGCCGTTTTACTTTATTTTTATTTTGTTGTGAGTTTATTTTTTATTAATTACAATTTATTCATTTTGTTTCCCAGCTGTAGCCCCATCCCTCAGCCCCGCCCAATTTCTTTTAGGAATTGCAAGGCTGCTGACAACCCTTACAGCATAGCGGGAGGGCGTGGGGACTGAAGGGCCTTAAAATGAATCACTGTGTTACTACAAGAAACCTAAGAGGTAGAGGGCTCAGAAAAGAATTTATATCGGCAACTCACAGAAGCATTGGGACACTGAAGGAATCTGGGACCCTGGAGACAGGTTTGTGTTGACAAGCCGTCCTGTACCAGTCTCGCCCTTAAGTTTCTCACTCCTGCTTTGAGTGGTTCCTCACTAACCGCCTTGGTTAGTTTTATTCCTAGATATGTGTTTTGAGGCTATTATGAATGCATGATCTACTTCTTAGCATGTTATTCATTAGTACATATAGAAAGACTACTTTTGTTATTGTTAATTTTAACAACTTTCTAGACAGGCACCGTATCTTATTTCTCTTAGACTTGGGCCAGGAAAAAAAAATCTGTTCTTCTATAGTATTAAAAAAAAAGTCTTGGGCTTCTATTTTTGCTTGTTTGTTTGTTCATTATTTTTTTTTTATGACTGCAGCCAAGGCTTAACTCTGACAAGCTTACAATAGTGAAGATCTCACGTTATTCTGTAAAACCTATATTCTTGAGATAATATATTCCATTCCTTTACAAAATATAATGTGTATCAAGAACTGAGAAACCTTCCTCTAATGATATTACGATAAACTCTGGTGGCCGCCCGGTGTGTCCCCACACCTCACCTGTCTGCTAAAGATGAGACTCCCTGATAGAGGCCTGCAAGCTAGCGGTAAAATGCTATCAGTTAGCTTGCCCCTGAGGCTTTGCAGGTGTGGCTGCTGTGCCACCTGTGAGTCAGTAAGTGACAGAGAAGACCTGTAACCTGTGACCTAGGAATGGCTGAATGCTAAGTAGCCTGACATTACTTGAAAAGGACAAGCCTGAGAGGACCACCAGGAAGGTGCCAGGCAGGCCCAGACAGGCTCCCAGGATGGGAAGCAAGCCATAGACTAGAAGAACCCCACCTGAAACCACAGGCTGAAACAGTCAACCCTCACATGCCCAAGATGACCACCAGACTAGAGCCATGGAGCTTGGACAGGGAGCTAGCCACAGTGACCACCGGTCCAGCACTGTGCAGGCCTGGGAAGACAAACCTTGCCTGAGATGAGCCCCTGCCAGCACCATAATGCACCGTGCACTCCTGAGACCATTCCTGAGACAACCCCAGACACTCAGAGCCCCTGGGAGACAGTAAGAGGAGCAAGTAAATGGTGGAGAAATGGAAGAGAAAGAGAAGCAGAAGGATGTGGGCACAATGAAAAGGGGAGACCCGAGGGTAGTGAGGAACTGGCTGATGTGAGTAGCCAGTGATGCCACCTAAGGCCATAGTAAGGTCCTGGCCTGTGCTGCCACTAGGGACCACATGTGGGCCCATGGCGTGGCCCTGTAGAAGCAGCGGTCTGTTATCACCAAAGGCCAGCTAGATGTCCCTGGTCAGGGCCACTGCCCGGGGACATGTTGATACCTGAAGGATGTGCATAACTAGCCTCAGCCCTCACCTGGGAATCATGGGAAAGCTGGTCCTGGGGCCAGGAGAGTAGGGGAGCTGACCAACCCCTAACCAGCTGCAGCTCTCCAGAGAGCTGGCACACACACTGCGAGAGATGAGGGCGAGCCTAAAAGAGCTGGCCCTACGGTGGTTTGGACAAGGAAGAAATACCTCCCCTTTCCCCTTTCCCACCTGTGGCACGTGGGAGACCTAGCCCTTGGGTCAGGAGAGCTAGCTCAGACCCTCACCAGCTGTAGCACTCAAGAGAGCAGGCCTACCACCTCAGCTCAATAGCAGGGTAGAGCTGGCCCTGGACATAAGGGCTACAAGCGAGCCAGCCCCGAAGGTATGAGAGCATGAGGTCTGGAGGGCCGACCAGCTCATATACCTCTCAGACCCAGAATCAGGGCTTTGAGTTGACCTACCCCAGCATCTACCCCATCAATAAACTGCTGGGGTGCATGAAGGGGCTGGTCCTACAGATCCAAAACTGCAGGATCTCCATGACACAGGGCAACAACAGGATATCCAAGCAGAGTGAGTCCCAGGGAGGATGCAGTATTGACAGAGTAGCAGAAGCCAGGGGCCTTGGACCAGATCAACTACTCATTGCAATTTTTTTTCTCTGTTAGAGTTGGAGGGGGGGTACTAGGGAAGGGGAAGATGAGTGGGATTGGGGTGCATGATGTGAAGTTCACAAGAACCAATAAAAACTTAGGAAAATGCTACCAGTTCACAGATACCGTCAAGTGTAGCAGTGAGAGTCAGGGTCATTTTTAATGTGCTTTGCCTCTTCGTTCTCCACCATTGCAAGAATACACATACCTTGAGAGAGGCCAACAAGCATGAGGGAAGTAAGGTATCAACAAGGACCACTGAATGCAGTACCCCTGTCCTCCTCCAGGGTGTCTGCCTTCCGCCATTTCGGGTCCCAATGTTCAATAGTAGTCAGAAAATACTAAATGGGCAGAGATTTTCTAGAAATAAACAATGCCTAAGTCTTAAATTGTATGCATTTGCTGGTAGTCTGACGCATTCTTTGATCTCTCTAGTTTTGCCTCTCCCATGCCCTGTGTTTAATTGTAGTGACACCAAGGAACTACCCAGCAGAGACCATACTGAGGCCTCCAAAGACGCGCAGTGTAGAGACCCGCCTCTCAGGGCGCGTGAGATAGAGGAGATTATGTTATGTTGCACTTATATGAAACACTGAGTTTGATGAAATGACTTTACCAAAGCTGCATAATTAAGTAAAGCGAACAATGATGAGCTGCTGGTGGGTGGGGAGGCAGCTCCGGCCATAGTGTTTGCAGCGCACTGGGGATCGGAGTTGAATCTCAGCACCAACATAAAGGGCCAGGCCTGGGCGCATGTCTCTAATCCCAGTGCTAAGGAGGCAGAGGCAGGCAAATCCTGGGAGCTCTCTGACCAACAAGTGTAGTGAAATGAGTGAGCTCCAGACACAGTGAGAGGCCCTGCCTCAACCCTAAGGTCAAGGGCTAATGAGATGGGTCAGCAGGTAAAGGTGCTGGTTGCCAAACCTTATGGTCCATGTTCAGTCCCCAGAATCTGCGTAAAAGAAGGAGGGAATTGACTCTCACAAGTTGGCCTTTGACCTTCACGCACATGCCAGGGCACATAGACACACACACTATACCACACACCACACCCCTCCACACACACAGCAATGTTGAGAGTGACACTCAAGTCAACCTCTGGGTGCCACATGTTCATGCACACATGTCTATTCACACACTCATAAACACGAACACACATACATATACACAAATAGTCATGACAGTGCAGGACAGAGAAAGGTGCACACAGTCAGACTGGCTACCCCAGGGAGGAAGCTTAGCAGCATGGGGATGCTCTTTGGCTTGGAATCTGGGCTCTCATCCTCTCCGAATATGGCAAAGACCACATGGACTATGGCTGGTTCTGATACCACATCTTTGCCTAGACACCTCTTGTAAGGGTCTGCATAACGTTCGACATGCCTGCTTCGTTCACACGTGTGAGACTACTATTTTGCTTCTTTCCTTTCCTTCTCAGCCTTCCAGAATCCCATTGATTCTCCCACACATAGCTGAAGTCCCATCTCCCATGACAGTCCACTGAAGCACGGCAGGAACTTCATCTTTTCCCTTGACTTCTAAAGCACAATGGTCACAGCTCTGCAAAGCAGCCTTATTTTACGTCACATTTATTCATATATGCACTGCCTCTCAAGCTCTGACTTGTTCATCTCTCTGGCCCAGTGACGTCTGTCACTGTGTCCTACACACAAACACAGTATTTTTTAAGTGAGAGAAGCTGAAAATTAGAGGAAACCTGTATTCCAATCCCAACTCTGTTATTTACTAAACCTTCTTATTCCTCAGTCCTCATGAAGCATAGAAAAAAATACCTACTCAGGGCTATAATAAACACAAAACATCTGACAGAGAGTAGATCATTACAGCAATAATTATACTCGTTGACTGAAACGTAAAATTGGGACTGTGGAAATGTCTCAGTCAATCAAGCCCTGCTGTACAAGAATTTGGACTTTAATTGAGAATCCCAGAGCTTTGCTATTTAAAAACAAAACACAGAACACACTGACACATGTCTGTAACCCCAGCACCAGATTCAGAGACTGGATAGCTGGAGCTCATTTCCCAGACATTTAGCTGAGTTAATGAGCTCCAGCCTCAGTGAGAGATCCTGTCTCAAAAAATAAGGTGGAGAGGGGTTAAGGAAGACACCCAACGTGAGCTGTCCGCCTTCACATGCAACCATCTGCACACACCACGTTAACATAAGCACATACACACACACTTCACACATGTCCATAAAGTTCCAGCATGTATAGTAATTAACACATCATGGCTTTGACCTTGCCAACATCCTACTTTCCCTCACTCTGAACCTTCCAAATTCTAGGCGATTCTTCCACACAGAGCTGAGATGACAGCTTCTACAGAACTTTGCAGAAACCTGGTAGGCATTCAATGAAATGCTCCGTGCTGTGATATTTTACAGCTGCTTACAGATCTACTTAGTACTTGAACTTTGTGGTGCTGCTGCTGTCAGCGACCTACCTTGAACTCTTTCTCAATGTTGGCAAGCACTGCCAGCTCATTGCTAAGTTCTAAAGCCGTCATGACTGGATCTTCGCTGGAAAGTGACAAGTACGCTGGACTTGCCAGACCCTTGTAAGCATTGATCCTGGATCTGGAGTGGCTGAATGAGTCGTGCTTTTGTTTCTGGCTGCATTCTGCACACTTGCAGAAGTAATCATGAGGCCTTTCAATCCGGGCACCCTTTCTCAGGAGTGTGTGCACAATTTCATACTCCTGGCAATGGGCAGCCAGGATGATTGGTGTCACATCATGGGAGAACCGTGTTCCATCTTCGTCGTAGGCATAAAAGTCATCCTGCTGGAGTTCAGACTGACTGGGGCTTGTCGCTAACCTCTTGCCCTCGGCAAAAGCTGGGTGGTTGAGGATTGCCTCCACGATCCGTACGTAACCTTTGCTGATAGCTAAGAGTAAAGCATCACCAACTCGAGACAAGTTTTCCTTCTTGAGCAACAGCTCTGTAATTTCCAGGTGCTCATTGGCCACTGCCAATTGCAGGGCATTCTGGCCCATGTAATCCACACAGTTAACATTGAGCGAGAGACACTCTTCCAGCATCTTCCGCACCACTGGGATGTTGCCATATTCCGCTGCATCTAGAAAGCGCTCCTCCTCAATAGACAGGCTTGTCGAGTGATCATTAAACATGTATGCTGGTCCTCGATTAGCCAACCTCCTTCCCTTCTCACGGAGAACCGTCTGCCGCCGGTGAGTCAGTCTGTTTTCATTTCCCCGGCTGCAGTAAGACAGAGAGATTGGTGAAGTAATCATATTAGGAGCATTTTCATATGGCCAAATGACCTGTCATTCATCTAATGCAATCCTCAAATATATTAGATGTTGTCTCAGCATCTCTGGATCCACTAGCTGATAAGATGACGATTAATTTATTTGCTAATGAATTCCAAGAACTTCTTATTTAAGAAAGATAAGTACTTTTTAGAGCTTACCATTCCATTTTGGAGCAGAGACCATGGTGATTGTCATCAGTTTGTGTGTGTGTGTGTGTGTGTGTGTGTGTGTGTGTGTGTGTGATTCACTGAAAGATATGAGTGAGTGTTTGTGAACTGCAGATGGTAAATACTGAGAAAAGTGTGAAGGTTAGTTTTAAATGTCAACTTTCTACAACCTACCATCACTTAGAAGGAATGTCTTAGTGAGGAATTATCTAGATCTGATTAGCCTGTGTCATGACTATGGGGTATTGTCTTGGTTATAAATTGACTCAGTTCACTAGGGACAGCGCCATTCCCTGTCTTAGTGCCCTAGGTTGTATAAGAGTAGAGAGAAATAGCAGAGTAGCAAGCAATTAGGTATCACAGGTGCGTCTGTTCCTCTCTGCTCTTGTCTGTGGCTGTACTGTGACCAGCTGTCCCGAGGACCTGCCCCTGCGACTTCCCACCAGTGATTGACTGTAACCTGGAATCATAAGTCAAATAAACCATTTATCCCATAAGTTGTTTTTTTTTTTTTTTTTTTTTTTTGGCAACGGATCTGTGCCACCAACAGAAATAAATCTACAATAGAGAACATAAAAAAAATTTAAATGGCAAACAGAATAGTAAATTTATTCAACTCTTCAGTATTAACTGACTCATTCCTATGTACAATACTCCAGGAAAATTGATGGTGAAAATATAATCTTTATTCCTTTAAATATTATCATCTAAAAGTGGAAATCAGCACATTACCCTTTTATCGGCTGCTTAGCTGTTGTGATGAGCCTATAACATCTAGCCTCGCTGCTGGGAGAAAATGGCATGCCAAAAACAGAAGCATGACTAGTTAGATGAGTGTAAATTTGGGAGCTTGGGCTTGAGGTGCGAGTAGATGGGAGCTTTCTTCAGCAGAGGGATCGGTCATGTGCCGAGGGAGAACTTTGCAAGCTGGGAAAAGGAATATTTGGACTTTCTCAGCCTGCAAAAATCACCAAAACTCAAAGAAGCCATCATCAAGAACCCAGAAAGAAGGCAAACCTTCATAGTAAGGGACATGCCAAAGAAGCCTCCACTGAAGCCTATAATAGGAAACTTACATAATCTTTGTCTTTATCTAAATGCTATAAGAAGAAATCTATCCTTTTATGGTGTAAATCTATCCTTTACTTTGGTGTCAGAAGGTCTTCTGGAGGCTCAAGGGCTCTCATTTAATTGAAAGGTTTAAGTCCCTTTTAAAATTATTTTTTATTTATTTTTTTATTATTACAATTTATTCACTTTGTATCTCAGCTGTAGCTCCTTCCTCATCCCTTCCCAAATCCACCCTGCCCCTCTTTTCTCCTTCCATGCCCCTCCCCCAGTCCATTGATAAAGGAGGTTCTCCTCCCCTTCCATCTAACCCTAGCCTATCAGGTCTCATCAGGACTGGCTGCATTGTCTTCCTCTGTGGCCTGGTAAGGCTGCTCCCTGCCCCCGAGGGGGAGGTGATCAAAGAGCCAGCCACTGAGTTCATGTCAGAGACATCCCCTGTTCTCCTTGCTAGGGAACCCACTTGGAGGCTGAGCTGCTATCCAAGGCATCTTAAAACAAAACAAAATTATGCTTTGCTAAGGATACAACTTGTCAGTAAGTATTTCCACGTGAGGTGGTAGATGCCTTTTCTGTGTGATTGGATGGATATCATCAAAACAGATCTTATTTCAATGAGAAAACCTTCAAAGACAGTGGACCTTAGCCTAAGCAGGATCTGGATGTGGGAAGGTGAACACTTACTCATTACCAGTGAGAGTGCAAACAGGTGCAGCCACTATCAAATCCATGTGGAGGTTCCGCAAAAAGCTAGCAACAGATCTCCCATCTGATCCAACTATAGCTCTAGTGGGCATACAGCCCAAAGACTCTATACCCTACTATAGAGATACTTGCTCTCCATGCCCATTTCTGTGATGCTCAGCAGCCAGAGAAACAGTCTAAATGTCTAACAAATGATGAGTTCTCATCAACATGGCTATCTAAAGAAGAATGAGAAGTAGGACACAGACAGACAGGGTGATACAGAAGTGGGCATGCTCCTCTGTGAGGCCTCATTCTAGACAAAGAACCACTACATCTGGAGAGCGCTGAGAACAGGAGAAACTCTATTCCCCATGGAAAACCCCTCAGGTGGTTAGCTCAAAATGTGGCAGTTGGAAGGAAAATATCCCCCAAGACTCATATGTTCTCATGGTTACTCCCCAGTTGATAAATTGTTTGGGAAAGATTAGGAGATGACTCCATGTTGTACTAGGTATGTCCTTGTTGAAGAAAGTATGTCATTGGGGAGGACTTTGAGGTTGCCAAAGCCCATGCCAAAACCAGATCTCTCTCTCTCATACTCGCTCTCTCTCTCTGCCTCTTGCCTGTGTATCAAGATGCAGCTCTCAACTACTTCTCCAGCACCATGCATTTCTGTCTGTCCATCTGCCTGCCACCATCTTTCCACCATGAAGATGATGAACTAAGCCTGTGAAGCTGTGGCCAAGCCTCCAGTAAGTGTTGTCTTTATAAGGGTATTGCTTCACAGCCATAGCAGTAACTAGGACAAATACTAGGTGGTCAGCCTTGATCATACATATACAGGTAACATTATTATATAGACTGCACAAGTTTCATCTATGTATTTAGTAATATGTATGCATGCATGTATGTATGTATGTATATAAACATATCTGTGTATATGTAAAAAAAAAATCAAGGCAAAAGGAGCCATGAATGTAAAAGTGCAAGGGGTGCATGGGAGGGGTTGGAAAGAGAAATAGGGAGGGGAGAATAATGTAATTATCATTTCAAAAACTAAAAAGATTATTTTACCGTGTGGTACATTTCCATGATGGAATGTTTATTATCCAGCTGTTGAGAAAAAATGATTCACAGGTACATGGAAGTAAAAGTTTTGTAGTTGAGTGATGCTTAATGACTTAATCCTATCACCAAATGTGGTGTGTCTGATTGGAGAGCTCTAGGTTGACAGAAATCCTCAAGTCCTGACCCTCTTAGATTCTGGGCTTTGAAGCACCTGTTGAGAAGCATGATGTGCTGTGAATCTGGGGTCCTTTCTTTGTCTCTCGTCTACTAAGAGTAAGAGATGGGTTCGTGCAGGGAGTCCTTTCTGCTGTTCAGCTCCGGGAACACTCCAGTCATAGGGCTTAGACAGTCTTATTTCCTACTTTAACATTCAATTTTGAGCTCCTTGTATTTGGAATGTTGAGCATTTCATAATTGCTCTTTAATTTTGTTACCATTTTCTCTCATTTCCAATTACTCATCTGTATGCATCATATTCTGGGAGATTTCTTTAATTTTTGTCCCATGATATAGCAAATGAGGGGTTTTTTTTTCTACCACTACATTTTTAATTTTCAAGATCTTTTTCACAAATGTTTTAATTTTTTTATTTATTACAATTTATTCACTTTGTATCCCTCCCTCATCCCCTCCTTCCCTCCCTCTTCTTCTCCTATGCCCCTTCCCCAGTCCACTGATAGGGGAGGTCCTCCTCCCCTTCCATCTGACCCTAGTCTATCAGGTCTCATCAGGAGTGGCTGCATTGTCTTCCTCTGTGGCCTGGTAAGGCTGCCCCCCCCCAACCATTATACTTTTATTGTTGCTTATTATAATTTATCATTACTACGACTACTAAGAGTGTGATGTGGGAACTTATGTGTAAAGATCAGAGGACAGTCTTCGGGAATCTGTTCTCTTCTTCCACCATGAATTCCAGGAACATAGCTTAGGTCTTCAGGCTTGTGTGGCCAGGGCCTTTCTGCACTGAACCATCATGAGGCTCTAATGTTTCTTTTATAACTCTGGGGATGTTAGGAACATAGGCTGTGCAGATTGTAGTTCACAGGATTTACTCTGGAGCTGCTCATTTCTATTTGGTTACTTTGCTTTTTGTATTTCACATCCACTTTCCCACACATAGAAAGTAATGCTTTGTGGATCCACTTTCCTACTCTCTAACGTATTCCTGATGTGCTAAGAGAGTACAACCTCTCCTTGAGAGGACTAGACTAATGTTGGTTTAACAAAGCAGGTTGTCCTGAGTCTAATGGGAGTTTCTGGGAGAGGCATTATTTCCAAGTTAACAAGATGGATGAGTGAGAAGACAGGGAGGCACTGAGTTATGTTACAGAGCAGCCATCCAGCATCTTCCCTCTGAAATTCCTGGCCCTCCTCCCTCCCTGTCATTTTTCTGGCTTCTGATCCTCTTGGTGGGCTTTCACCTCCGGTGTTCTGTATCTACCATCTTTCATCATTCCTGTTGTAGGCGAGAAAGTTGAAAGACAAGGAAAGGAAATGGTGACAGCCAAAGGCGCAGTACGGTTATAAAAAGACAAGTGCGTGAAATTAAGTAAGAAATAAGCTAGGATCTGGAGATTTAAAAGGATGAGATGGAAGCACTGTAAGAGTTTGCAAGGAAAGCTCTTGTGCTATTGCAGCAACAACAGTAATGGGAAAGAGGCATAAAATAGCATCATTTTTTAAATACTTAACTATTTTTCCCTATGTGCCTATATCTGCACGTGCCTGTGCCACCTGAGTGCAAGTACTTCTACAGCCCGGAAGAAGGAATTTAGTCCCCTGGAACTGGAGTTACAGGTGCTTGTGAGGCAATGTGGGGGCTGGAACTGAGCTAGGGTCCCCTGGAGGAGTAGCAAGCATCTTAGCCACTGAGTCACTCTCTAGCCCTCATATTTGTTCTTTATCCATTAAAACTGGAACAAACAACTATTTAAATTTGTCTCAAAGTATTACTTTAGGAGGCTGTTAAAGTTAAGATTTGGAAAGCAC